TATATATATACAAAAAAAAACATGGATGAAAAATAAATATGGTTGCGTCAAATTGTTTAATAATCATTGCATAAACATAAGATTACAGAATTCAAAGATTTTTTTTTTTTTTGTCGCCACATACTCTGCCAGAATTCGTTTGCTTTTAGCTTTGGTTGGCAGAAATTTCTCGTCATATGTATAGGTGAAAATATTATTTGATTTGTTAGATAATTTATAAATACTTTTAAAAAGTTAAAAACAGGCTTGTATCTCTTGTCATTTAGTGATCCGGGCGCGGCCTGGTAATTCACGTGTCAGGCTGCGTATCGAAGGGTTTAGAGTTCGATATGTGATGCCTCTGAACACACACTTCACTTTCAACTGTAGGCACGTTTAAAAGTGACAGTCAATTCCGTTATTTGGTTTAAACAGTCGGACAAAGTATCTGCGGCTTGCTGCAATCTTTATGGCGAGTAGCTTAAAATTAGAAACAGATATGCCTAAATCCTAAAGGTCTGTGACCTAGCCGTTTAACCCACGTGCCATAAGGTGCCCTTCAAGCTAAAAATTCCAATTTCAATTCTCCTGACATTTAGTAACTTATAATCACAGCAAAGATTTGCGAATGTAAGTTATTCTGTCTGCTTTCTAAAAGCAAATATATATATATATATACTTTTGTTAGCAAGTTTTTTGTGCCAAAGTTATCGCAGCGAAAACTCCCATTAGAAGATTAAAGTTTTTGCTGAGATAGATATTTTTTGACATATGGTGAATATCTTGCTTTCGAAGAGCACATGACACCTTCAACAAAACGTAATACGCGAAGAGAACAATGAGGCATTATTATAAAACACCTGTTACAGCTTCTCGATAAAAAAAAAAAAAATCTAACTTGTAGTAAATTCAACTATTATGATATAGTTTTTAATAGATATTTCCTCCATCTATTGTTCTGCGTACAAACTAAATATATAGCATTTACGTATATGCGTGCATACATCTTTGGGTCGAATAATGATGTAAAATTAAATTGGAATAAAATATAATAACCGTAACTCTATGACTCTATCTCATTAGCTTATCGTATTTGTTCGCAGTATCTCGCGCAATTTACAACAAACCAAAAATGCTTCGGTGCTTGTTTGTTGTTAAAGGTCTGTTTATTTAAGTTAACGAAGAAATGGCGCGATCCAGAGAATAGTTTAAAGGATGAAAATGTCGTTGGTCATGATTTTCGGCCCCATTCTGCGAAAACGCACTCCACACATTGGCGCTGTAAGATTAACAGTCAGATCTAACTGTCAGACATTTCTAAGTTAGCACAAAAATTCTGAAACACGTTTATTATATGACTTCCACATAGTTAAATAAGTCATACGTGCTTTATACAGATAGAATGCATACTGTTGGTGTGAGTATCTTGTCACATAAATGAGGGGATAAAGGATAATGTTTTCAGGGGGGATGTCTTTAAGGTGTAAAACTGTGTGGTGTGATCAAGTTGTTGCACAACAAGTGTGATTTAGGTCATGAACAGTGGGGAAGCAGTCTTCTTATGATTACTTTGTGTATAGAACGGGTTTCACGTGCGTGAAAATAACATTATGCTGCATATACCAAGTGTTCAGAAGTTAACCAACTAATCTTTAATAAGACTGGGCGCATTCCAACATAAAACGCTGATAAGTCTGGTGGTTTAGTCACTCAATTAACTCAATCTGCGGGTCCCGAGTTCGAATCTCGTCACCGAATATGCTGGCCTTTTTAGCCGTCGGGATGTTATAAGTGACGGTCAGTCCCACTATTCGTTGATAAAGAGTAGCCCAAGAGTTGGCCTTTTGTTTGGTCTATCACTTCAAAATTAGAAACGTTTAGCACATGTAGTCCCCACCACCACCACCGGAGTAGCTTTGCACAAAATCCAGCATTCAGCGTTGGCACGTCCTGTTCCTGAAGTCAACTTTTATTATCATTAACTTCCGGTATTGCTTCACTGTTGGCTAAACACCCCAAGCAGTGTTTAGGTTCACAAAAGCAATACGGCAGCTTAAATGACGAATGTAAAAATTAAATTAAGCCTAATGAAGAAGAGTTGCGTGAAAAGTTGTTACATAACTTTTTGTTTCAACTTTGCGCTTTTAAAGTTATTTTATTTTATTGCATTTATCTTCCAATATTGTGCGAATTTCAATTCTTCTGAAACTTTTTTCACCTGATGTCCATCTTTGAAATGTCGATAAAATCAACAAACCGTGACGTCATGATAGTTCCCGCGCTGATTTGTATCGTTGAATTTTGGAATGCGGCCATTGTATACGAGGTTGTTGGATACCTTTAACAGCCTGTAATAAGATTTTAACGTTGTCGAGTTTAGATCTGATACGTATCAAACTGTAGGAAGCTGTTGGATGCCGTTAACAGGCTGTAACCACCATTTTGAAAAAATATGAATTGGATTATAGTGTTGTAAATTTTAGACCTGGAATGTAAAACAT